TCAATAAGACCGTATTCAAGAGCTTCTTTAGCAGTGAATCGCTTCACTCGACTCAAATCCTTGTGAACCTACATGGTTCCAGTTACCATGATCAATACTTTGAATATGCAGAGGTAAATTATTACTCGATATAAGGAGAGTCCGTTTAAGGTGGAAACTTATTTCGAATCATAGATTGGAAAAACAATGACATACCTTTTCAATAGGCTGGCCTGTCTTCTCAGACAACTCCTTGAAAAGGTAATTTCTAATTCTGAGAAGTTCTTCTGCTTCATTACGGATATCGTCAGCCTACCAAAGATGAAAATATAAGTGTATGTAGTCTCAGGAAGATTATCAGAAACAAACATTTAGACTTCCAAAATGTCATGGAGGCAAGCAAACCTGTCCGCGTGCAGCTCCAGCTGGAGATTCTAGTGCAATCCTTGCAAGAGGCATTGCACATCGATTGCCCTTCATGATGGAAAGTTAACCAAATTAACAAATACGCTTTAGTTTGCCTTTCCAAACAATCACATCATGATATAAGAAACTAAGCCAAAACAAAGAATCCCTTAATGTGAATATGCCTATCATTTGAGGTCTTTGCATTAACAGTTCTCATCACAAAAGCATTCCTCATTTAGGCTAGGAATGAACAAGTGCTTTAGCATAAGGTGAATCGTATGAATCACATATTTAATGTCAGTGATATACCTTCAGGAAAACAAGAATTGATCTAGACAGCCAAATGAAATCACATGTCAATTTATGACCAAGTTACCATTTTGAAAACTTATATCAAAAAAGGAAAAAAACAGAAAGTAGTCTGATTTCACATTACAAGATAGAATCACAACTTTCAGTGGAATCCTTCGAAGAGACACAAGACCAACTTATAAATTATAATCAGCTAAATACACCTCTAGGTTAATATAAGATAAATTAAATTCTCATAAAAAAGGTTCTTTGGGTTGTCATCACAAGGCCTGATACCGGCAAATTTCCATTCAAGTCAAATGCTGAAAAAAGAAAAGGAAAACTAGCCAAAATGTCCAGACAAGTCAATTGCATCTTTACATAAAATAATCAGCTACAAACAACTTGAACAGCTACTATAAGTAAGACATTGTAGATGAGCACAAGTTTTTAGTCACATTTCATCACTACGAGAGAAGTATCGTACCTTTTCTCCAGCAGCAAGAAGAAAAGCGGCAAGATTGTAGGCAAAGCCCACACAGTGGGTACCAACAGCACTTTTCAGACTTTGCATTGTGTCATAAATGGCCAGGGTTGGAGTTAGCTGTAATTAAAAGTAACTTTAAGCATAACAAGAAGAAAGAAACCGGTCTGAGTACAAATTTTAGAAGAAAAAGGAGGTGTTTCTATTTAAAAAGAAACTATGACAACAAAGCAAAATTGGTGAAGAACTCACATCACCACCAGGCCCATTGATAAACATGTAGAGCTTCTTGGAATTATCAATACTGTCAAGGTACAGCATTGTTGCCAATATCTGGTTGCTAAATTCTTCAGTAATCTCTTCTCCAATGAAAATAACACGTTCGCGGTACTGCATTTGAGAATTCAGTGATATTTTCCCAGATAAAACATATGAATTATTATCCAATTAGTCAAAGAAGAAATGAAGGCACTCTTCGATCAGGAAGTGATCCAGAGAATAATGTAAAGGGCTCTAGATCAAAGTTATCAAGCTTTGATTTAATAGACTTGGAAGTCATATTCAAATAGTGGTTCAGCCAATGAATGTGCTGGCTACAACCACTACTACGAAGAGAGACTGATCCTGGACCTTGACATTTTGAATTACCGCTAAAACGAATAAAATTCTTTATCCAGATAGCAATAATCTGCTAGCTTAACGAGAAACTGAAGGCATGTTACTTACAAGAGCATTCCATATATCAACCCATTGCCATGATGCGTCAACTGGATTTCTATAGGGCACCTTTGGTGTTCCAATGGGCATCATGGTAACTTGTGCACGTGTTGCTTTACCATCTTTAGTTCTGGAATTAGGAATTATGATTTATGGGTCAGGTTAGAAACACAAGCAGCAGCCAAAACTTGAGAAAATATATACAAACTAGATATATCCAAAGGGGAGTTGAGGTTCCACTCATAGAAGAGATGGGATATACTCAGACATGAACAACATGCACTTTGCACAAGCTTGTAAGTAACGATCAATTAAAAATGATGCAAGTGCTACACCTCATTCAGATCTGCTTGTTAGCGAGACACACCTCATCAGATCAACTGATATCCCTGTTTGGGGGGTGAGGGGATAGAATAGTTTAAATCTTCTCATTTGAACTACGCGATGATCTGTAATTTGATTGTAAACAAAGTATACTGACTTATGCTATATATAAGTTCCTTAAAAAAAAGGCAATGTTAATCATAAACTCACGTGAGGGAAAGATCAGAGAGGTATGGAGGAGGTGGGATCGAGGAGAGGAGTGTATGGTGATTTACACGTCATATTTGGAAGTGAAAGCAGTTTAGGAGATAAGTTGGGGATTTGAGCAGGAATTAAGTGAAGATAATCTGGCAAGCAAATCCAACAAGTATAGTTGGAAAACAATGACCAGGTCATTCAGATAGCATCAATGGAATAAGCAGATCAAGACGGCTCATCCAACTCTTTTTGTTGCAGATTTAGGTCAATGATACAGAGAAGTAATTCAGATGATTACAAGTAGAGATTGAGGGAAATGAAGGATTTTGGGGATATTTGGTACTTACGAAGAAGAGGGAGCAAGAGAATAAATCTGGAAGACTGAGAAAAGATGGCATGAGTTTTGGGAAAAAGAAAACCTTTTTAAAAAATTATTAGAAGCGAAAAAACATGAAAGAGAAAATAAGGCTGACAGGTTAGAAGGTTTGAGTTTTAGATTTAAATATTCAGCAGCAAGAAATGTGCAGAGTATGAAAAAAGCTCATCGAAGGGAAGAATAGCTCTGCACAAGTAATTGTTGAGTCATATTCTCTATGCCAATTTTTTATTTGTAAAGCGGTCAAGTCATATATATTTCCTGGTTGCTTGTATTCTGGGCACTCGGCCTTTCCAGCTTGCCTGTTGGGCATTTTCCATTAATAGTTTGAGGAAAAGGATAGAGGCTCTAAGATGAACTTGCACAGAACAACAAAGCTCATACTTCATAAATATCAACAGCTAGATATCAAGACAACTTTTCCCTTTTCAAAACCATTAAATTAAATTAGCCTGCAGCATCTTCCTCTCCCATGGAAAATATCCTCCGCTGGAACGGCCAGAAACTAAAAGAAAACTATGCATAGGTGAGAAAGGCAGATGGAAGAAAATACTACGCATTGAATAATAAGAAACTACACAACTACTAAATAACTCCCTACCTTTCCCACATAAAAAGCGGCAACACTTGACCACTAACTACCCTTCCACTCTAATCTCGACCCCCCAAATCTTCATATCTAGGGCCACATCCTCAATAAGTTGAAGTTGTTTCATGGCTTGTCTAATTACTTCCCCTTATTCTTTTTTGGCCTATCTTTGCCTCTCATAACGCCAACCTCTCACACCTCCTTCCCGGGCATCCACACACCTCTTATTCACATACCCAAACCATCTCAGTCCCACTTCTCTCATCTTGCCTGCTATGAAAGTCACTCCCACTTGACCCTGTATAACTTCATCCTAATCATATGTCTGCTAGTATGCCAACAAATCTATCTAAGCACCGTCATCTCCACTACCTTCATCTTCTAATCAACCAAGACCAAAATACTCGCTCAAAATTATAAAACCAAGAAGTCCATTCATCATATCTACATTCAAATCATCCATAATTCTCAGACATATTACAACTCAAGTCCAATTCTTTTCAATAGTTGGACATAGTGTATGAGCAACGAGTTCATCTGAATCTCATTTCCTTTGTCTCCTACACAAGAGAACATCCACTAGCATTGATGACTATTAGGAAAATCAACCTACTGCTCTAAATCCTCGATTCACCCCTACGGACCAAATACTCTAATTCTAACAAAACAGGTCATATATGCATACATAACAACAACACATCATTATTCAAGACAACAACTTTTTAGCTACAAAATTCACCCAATAATTAGAAAAAAAATAATTACCCGGATTTAATACTTTTATGAACTCTGTTGAAAAAATCAACATTTGAATTAGATGTCGCAACCCCATAAGAACCTGCCCAAAAATATATATATAAAAAAAGAAGCAAACAGTTATTATCCAATTAAAACAAGAGGAAAAAAAAACACAAATTAACATAACCACTATGTAATAAAACATACCTGGAGATTGGATTCTTAATCCGACATAAACTTTGCTGGAGCAGCTGAAAAACAATAGAAGAAGTTAAAAAAAATTACCAGAAAGAAACATTAATTTTGTGGAAAACAAGAAAATTGAATTGAGAAAAAGAAAAGAAGAAGAAGAGGGTAAATGGTACCTTAAAGAAGACTTAGGAATTTTAGTTTTAGAGTGTAGATACGAGGAAGAAGATGTTGGAAGAGCTACTGCCATTGATGCTGCTTTGGTGAAGCAACAAAGGTAGAAGAGTGTGAGAAGGAGTTGTCAATTTTTTTTTTTGATGAAGCACCTTGTTGTTTTTGGATAGGGAAGAGTTCCGGGTCCGGGTCAAAACCCAGATTAATATTTGACCCGTTAGAATAATTATGTATTTTTAAAAAAAAATCGATTTAGGGAGAATTTGCATTGTGTTTTTATTATTACTATTATTATTTTTAGTTTAATAGAGAGAACAAGGAAACAAGTGATAATAGAACTTTTTTCTTAGAGGGTATGGGTAATTTCTTGAATAGCTAGAAATTCATAACTTGAATCTAAGATATAAGAAAATAAAAGTTCCGTCAAAAACAATATTTTATTTATAATTTACATGCAAGGGGATTGTTGTACGACCCATAAACTCCGGATTGAGATAACTATAAAGAGAAAAATAAGTAAACAACAAAAGAGATGTCCAGAAATAGAATATGATATCACTTGTAGTTTTGCCAAATTGAAGGTTGAACTTCAAATCTAAAGCCATAAGTACATCTGTCAAAAGTGACGAATCAGTTCAGAACGAACAACAGGAGACATACTATATGTTCCTTTTTCCGAAAATGGTAAACTTCTTTACTAGGAATTATTTTACATGGTAACAAGGCACACACGGGATGGCTGAACTTCATCGATCAAACAGAACTAAGCAGGCTTCTCATATGTGTTAGCGTCTCTGAAATCTGAAATAGCACTACGAATCATTCCAGCCATATCAGATCGAACAAACAGATGTGTATTGTCCAAAACATGTATGATGAACTTTTGTGATTGTGGCAATGAAGCATTCATATTGATGATAAACTGAGCCATAGGTATATCACTGCAAAAAGAAGAAAGCAAACCTCAGCATCAAAGAAGCAGAAGAAAGATTGCCAAAGAAACTTGGCTGGGAAGTTCAGACCCTTTATTCTACCAACAAATATTGTCATTTGATTATCTTAAGATAGTACTTTACCATGATAGGTACAATCCTTTGACCGCATTCACCATCACGTATCAAAACTCTCCAAGCTTGAGCTGCAAAATAAATGATGAAACTAGCCAAAAAGTTATATGGCCATCCATATGCAAAGGCGTAATAAGTATGATTACAGCTGTATTGACTACTGAAACTTTCCTATTGTTCCAGACCATAATGCATTTCCGCAAACAGTTGTTGACTAATACAATGTTTTAACTTAAAGAAAGGAGAGTGATGAAGAGATCATCGAACCTAAAATAAGAAACCAGAGAGAGGCCGTTAACAGAATTGAGTAAAACTTTTGAGGTCCTTGCACATTCTTTGCCAAGTCCTTCAGATTTGCTGCCTTAACTTTGGAAAGATCGTTTTTGTTCACATTTCTTTTCATATTTTTTCTTCTAGAAGTTGGGAAAGTAAGAAGAGTGAACAAAGACCCCACGGAGTGCTATCATGATTCGTTTACAAGGAAATCTTCCCCCTTATCCATGAAATTGACATATAGTGAATGGACGAACCCCTTGAACTCGAGATTCAGACTTAAAACAGCTAAGACTGAAATTTGGGCCATCTTGCCTCATTTCAACTCTATCGAAGATAAGTCCAATTTCATGCAACTCAAGAAGGCATTGCAGATGTTTCATTTCTACGTGCTGAACACTTTGCTATAACTCGTGTTTTCAAAGGCGTGCTTAGGCCCTGAAGCAACGCACAAACCATGTCGAACATTTCACTATAGTCATCAAGTCTCTAAGGCTTACTTATTACTTGCCAACGAGCATAATCACGAAGAGACCACACTAAACAATTTATATCGATCTCAGTTTCCTTACTTTGTTATTCATGCATATAATTATTAGTCTTCAAGTACGCATACATATTTGCATTGTGCGCTTAAAATCCCCAACAAACCTTCGTCCTTGATCACATTGAATTTAACTAGCTATAATTCATAAATGTTATCACAGAGTTGATCCCTTCTAACAGAATGTTCCTAAAAGTTATGAAATTAAAAAATCAAAACAAAACGAAATCATGTCAACTCGAAAATTAGCTACAAATATAATAGTCTATTTCAGATCAGTCTATCAATAATACTGATTCAGTAATTTAACAAGAATTAATGTGCAAAATTTCATCAAAATTGCAAAAAAAAAAAAAAAAACAGGTATATATAAACTCATAATTTTATTCTAATAAATCATAGTTACAAAAGATTAAAAGAGAAAAACCAACAAAATCACAGTTTTAGGAAAATAAAAATAATAATGAAGGTGCGATTTGAAGTAGGGCTAACCTGGGGATGAATCGGAATGCGGTGAATGACAAAGAGGAGGTTTTTGGGTCTATTTTATGGCTGAATTTCCACATTGTCACCCTCAACTTTGTATAAATGACACATTGCATCTAAACTTAAGTCAAATACAAAACTAACCCTTATAGTACCTTTTCTTAGCGCAGAATCAGTCCCAATTATGTACGCTTTTTTAGTTTTTTGATATACTAACTACGTAAATTTTGATCAACGTTTTAATAATACATTTTTTTATCATATTGACATAATAATTTTATCAATTTTTTTAATTTAATATTTTAATATCTAAATTTTAATCTTAATATACTAAATTGATATGATTCAATTTAATTTTAAAAATTAGTATCGTCATATGCTTAGAAAAAGCAAAAGAATACTTTGGGACCCTTTAAGTTTGACACATTTATTCAACTTACTCCTAAATTAGTTTAGTTATAATTACTATTTGAATTTAGTAATTTGTTAATCTTGACAGTTGACATTTGGCACCTCAAATATAATTGAGTCAATATATTCATTATTTTAGCACATACATTAATTTCAACAAATAATCGAAAAGATGACATGTCACACGTACGTACATTCAATTGAAAATAAAAACACCAAAACCAAAAACAACTAGTTTAAAATGTGGATAAAAAGCTATAGAATGAAATCCATGAGCTTTGTAGATGGAAGTGAAATATCTTTGATGTTAAGTGCTTGGTTTTGGACAAACGAAGAAACTTCGACATCCCAAATTCACCAATTTCTCCTCTTTCCTCAAACCTGCATATTATAAGCTTGAATTTATAAATTACAAATTTTAAATAAATAAAATTTTATTAAGATTTTGATAATTTTTTTATACATATTAAATAAATTTTTAAATATATGAAATATATTTTGAATCAGAATTATTAAATTTGGTTGCATTACACTCCCACCCTCGATAACATAGCTAGTCAATTGTTTTCATTATATAATTGAGGTAGAAAAAAAAGGTTAGATTTGTTTAAAATATACTCCCTAGCAATAAAAATAGATGTCAAGTTTTATTTGATTAAAATTTCTATTCTAACCTTATATTAACTATATCATATTTTTAATGCACATTTGATATGAGTATAATAAACTTAAATTCATAGATAATTATGTCCTCTAACTTAGAGTGTGCACAGGTAGACACTTAAATTTGTAAAATATTAAATAAGTAGATACACTTGTTCTATATGACATAATACACATAGAACACCATATAAGATACAAAATTATCATGTAAGGTGTCATGTAGAACGATTGTGTCTATTTATTTAATTTTATACAAATTTTACTTGTTGCACATCTAAAATTAAAAGTCATAACTATCAAATGACACCAAGTTAAGAGTCAATGTTGCGTGTTAAAGTGAATATGAACGAACGAGCAAAAATAAACTTGAAAATTCAATAGGATGATATTTGAAACTTACTCTCCATACTAAATTGAGAATAATGAAGTTCATAACAAAGCGGATCACTACGACTCAACAACGGCCGCCGTTTCTCCTTGACGTAAATCTCAATCGCCGCCCTTATCAATTCTCCGACGGTATTCTCCGGCGACATCACCAAATTCACCGGGCCCAAACTATTCTGAATATTTACATTCACCAATAACTTCGTTAACTTTTGCTGCTTCTCACGAGCGTCGCTCGCGGTACCCATATTTCCGGCAGAAACATTTATAACGGCCGGATTTGTATGGGCGACCGCGAGTCTCGCTCTACTGCCGCCGTGCATGGAGCTACTAGATAGGTAAACTAATATTACAACGATTTTTATTTATTTTTAATTAATCTTGTCGAACAAAAGAGATGTATACTATTTTGTGTGTGTTGTGATGAATTGTTATATATTACGTAAGAAATAGAGGGGTTGGTGATAATGAATTTTTTGTCACATACTGAAATTATTTGAGTTTTTGTGCTATAGTGGTGGTGTGCGAAATTTCTAGGAAATAGCTGCTGCTGCTAACTCTCATGTCTCAACTTTTCTGTCCCCCCAAGTAGGTAGTACTCCTTTGTCATAATTTATCCGATATTTTTTGAATTTCAAAAGTTAACAATATTATTCATATATATTTAGCAGATAGCAAGCTAGTTATTCACTAAATGAGTAATAATGAAACAAGGTCGATTATAGTCTCTAGCCTTCCATGCTAAGGACAATGATATCTCATCAACACGTGTTGTTTGAAAAAAAATTGATTTTCTTTAACAACCTTTTTGACTATTTTCTACTTTTGCGTTGCTTTTGTATTAAAAAAAAAAGAAAGAAAACCTTTATTGTGTTTGATTTAGCGTACAATCTAGTCTAGATTTTTTAAGTATAAAATATGATATTAGTATATACGTTTTTCAACGTTTAGGTGGAGTGGGATAAATAAAACACGGAAGAAAAGATGCTTACTTGTAAATTAAGTAACTAAAATTGCTTAAACATTTGGGAACATAGTTCCATATTTCAAACTCAAATTAGGGAGAGTATTCATGCGCTTTTGTATCTTTTCAATCCCATGACATTTTGTATTCAAATATTTGATATATATATAAATCTATACAATATTTTGCTTTATAAATGAATGGATCTTACAGTAATCCATTACTGTTTGGAGGATAATGAAAATTACATGGAAGGATAATATCACCATGCAACATATCGTATAATAGGTTGATCGAATAGCAAATCTAATACTCATGCTACTCTATCATATAATAAAAAAAAAGTAAAATTCTAAATTCACCTTTGTTACGATGCGTCATTGCATGCAACCAAGGAATTTCCACAGCCTATATGTTCTTCTAAAGATTTTATTTATCTTGCGACGAAAGAATCCATCGAAGACAATGAGTGATTGGGAATTTGCTTTAACAGGAGCAATTTGATCTGAAGTTATTTCTGGATTACTTCCATTATTATTACTCTTTCGAAGATAAAAACTTCTGCTCCCAACATCTCCAATCACATCTGTGTTGCTCAAGCCTATATAAAATAATAAAATACAAAAATATAACGATCATATAATTGATCCTAACTTGAGACATAAAAAGCATAGTTGTTGTAATCATAGAATTTAAAATCTAATCCTTTCACAAATATATACTTACTTTAGAAAAGAAAAACAAAGGTTGAAATTTTGCAAATAGTGTATTAAACTTATTATTCAAATTGTCAAGTCTTGAAATACAACATGACATTCCCCTGACAGAACATAGGCAACTGTGTCAGACAAACATTTTCTTTTAATCTATGACCAAAAAACAACATTATCTTTGATAAAATAGTCAATATACCACAGACCAATCTAAATAATGTGATTAATTCCAGGGTGAGCCAGATATTAATATTTTAAGTTTCATCAGCTAACCTTACATCAAACACAAGAGAATTGACCTTTCAACAAAGAAAGGGTTTATACACCAAAATTATTTTAATACCAATGATTATATAATTAGATACATTCAATTTTAGTCGTAAAAATCATTAATAGTCCTAATCAACATTTGTTTACATAATAAATGCTTTTTTTAAGGATGGAAGTGCATACGTTAATGTAAAGTTGATAACATTAGCTCACAGAAAACATGATGTGTTTTGACCCGCTTATTAACTTAGCCTATTTGACCAGCTCAATTCAACTCATCTAATATATGGGAGGACTATGACCCGTTGCTTAGTCCATCTCGACTCAACCATCCTAACCGAGGTAACATTTAGAATGATCAATGATCGTTCATTTATTAACTCAGTCTAACCAAACCTGCAAAATTCAAGCTTAGCCCGCTCATTTCAACTTGTTTAATTTAACCCAACCTATACATTTGACACCTGTAATCACTATCTAATCTCCAAAACTAATTTGGATTTAGTAAAGTTGAGGTTTAGGACTTACTTTGAAGACTGAAGTGAGATTGGTACAATTGAAAAGATGAATCATCTCTGTTTTTATCAAGACGAGGAGTCCGGCCTTCTTCACTATATTTGTCAATCACAAGCCTTATTGTCTCATCAACACTTGATCCCAACTTCACCATTGTTCTTACCGCCCCTGGACTTCCTTCAACTGTCACATTAACCACAACTTTTGCATCCTTCTTGTACCCCTTCTGCACGAAATCCTTCAACATATTAGACATTAAAAATAAAAATACACCTTTCGTTTCAATTCCTTTGACCAATTTTGACTTGAAGTAGAGTTTAAAATGAAGGGAGTAATAGTAAGATACTCTCACTTTCAATAGATTGGTTAAATACGAAACACTGTTGATACGCAGAACTTCCTATAAGCAGTGTCGATATTTTAAAAAGTGATATAACCTTAGTTCTATAAGTACAATCATATATATATATATATCATCATGATTGGATTTTACAATGAGATGCAAATATTTGACTATTTCAAGTTGATTTAGCTGTGGTTAGTAAATTACTAGTCATTCACACAACAAAGAATGTGAAAACAAACACTATCAATTGGGCGATTGTTGATTTTCACACAATTGGCATGACTAAACTGCACTCTTTGACTTCGTAACATCATTATAGGTGAAGAAATATCTCCTACCAACACGACGATACTCGTAAAATTTAAATACTGAATCTAATTTTGTATAATTTGGGCAATAATGTTATTCCATTAATTCATTCATGCACCTA